TGCTGAAGAACCTCTGCAGTTTTTCTTTATTTTCTTTCGTGAGCCCCTGCCACCCCAAACCAACCTCCACTGTCAACCCGCGTCCCCACCTGTAGCTGCCTTTGGATTTGCTCCTCGTCGTGGGATTGTCCACCTGACACGAACATTCTCGGTATTCCATCACTTGCGGAGCTTCTTGGAGGCTTGGAATATGACGATGAATCATCGAATCATCTACCGCCATGTGGCTAAAAGTACCACGACCATCCAATGGATGTCCAAGTCCAACACAACTTGGGCATCGCCATTGGACATTTATGGGATGGTCATGGTACTTTGTTGGAGGTAAATGGCAGGTAAACACAATCATTCTATCTGCTAATGTTCCATCTAGATATGGTAACGCGTCTCTACAAATTTTGTTGGCACAGCGACGTTGGTATATATAAAAACTATATAATATATCTAACATAAATTATGCTATGTGTTTGGGGACATAATATAACTGCACCACTGCATTCGCCTTGAATTTTGACTGCTGCAAGCAGCTTCAGACCAATACTTTACAGGGATGGGACCGGCGTTCTCCCCCTTCTGCTTTCATTGTCAATGAAGATCCACTTGTATTTGAATTTGTTCTTGCAAACTTGCTCCTCTTTATATAGAGGTAAACCAGTGGATTCTAAAGACAAGACCTGAAAACAACTTGAACATTCCATGTCTGGGCTCTTATATGTCCGCTTCATGTTATGACCCCCAAATCCCCCAACAACTCGTGTCCACACCAGATCCAGAAGTTCCAAGTGGGGTGGGCGGTGGTTTGTTTGTTTGCATGTTAAAACCCAACAATGAAGCCAAGCAAGTGTTCAATGAACAACCCAAGTGTTCAACCCAAGTGTTCAACATTGTTCAACCCAAGTATGTTCAACCCAAGTGTTCCATGGGCAACTAAGCCCAAAAGACCAACCCTTGGGTGAAGGGCTGGAGGGTGTCCGCCCTCAGCCTTGCGGCGCCCTCTGGACTTCCACCACCGAGACAAGTCACGTGGGACAAGCTGCTGCCGCTGCCGAGGGAGACGTGTGACACAATGGAGGATGCCTTCTTCCGTAAGGAAGGAGCCTCAGAAGACAGGAACTCATGGAGACTGTTGTGGATAGGGTAGGGGTGGGATGAGGGTGGGGCCCTTTCTATTGTGCCTACCGGCCTAGCGCCCTTTGGGACAGCAGGGGTGCTCTTTCGGTGACCTGCAGGGTTTGAAATAACCTGTACCGACTTCAAGTACACTGTTTCAATGGGACAGGACCCTAACAAAGAGGTCGTCCGCTTTTTCTGAGGTACTTTGAGACTCCAGCAGCTAGTTAAAATATGTTGAATCCACAGTGAGTTTACGAGTTTACAGAGCTATGAATTTCAAGGCATGCCAACCCCCCAGTTGTGGTTCGCAACATCGACCAGTCTACCCGTCTGTCTACCAATTGGGCCAACAAGGACTCCGTGACAAAACAAGTCCACCGGCCAAAATGAAATAGTTCTAGGTATATATATATATACCTAGAACCCATTTGACCTCTATTTTGATAGGAAAGGACCATCTTTGGGGTGGTTTGTGGTCCAAAATAGACGTCATTCAGGTTCTAGGTATATATATTTATCTGTGTGTCCCCTTTCGCCGCGGAGCTCGTTCCCATCGCATCAAGGCCGACTCCAACTGATCGACGCTCGGCACTCGAAGCCCGAGCTTCGCATTGGGCCTGGCCGAACGGTCGGAGACGGCAGGGTGCGAGGTTTGCGTTGGGAAAGACAAGAAAAAAACAAGGATCCTTTAAAAATAAAGAACCTATTGATGTTGTTCTTTGCCTGCTTTCTCTTGGAGATGTTTTCCGACGTTTTTCTGCAGTGTAGGAGTAGGCACTCTGAGAATCTCTTTTGCTTGATCATGTGTCTGAACATGGAGGTTTTCATTTGCCATCAGTTCCTGATCTCACTGGACCTGGTGCACCTCATGGCATTGCAAGGATATTGCAAGGTCTTGAAGAACAACTCCGACTTCATACTGGCTGCTGACGCAGGCCGCTACCCCACACCTGCAGTTAAGGGGACAAGCAGTCGGGTGTGAAACGTTCAACACTATTGATTTCTCACTGGTGCGTCATGGAGAAGAAGGGTAGCTCACCCAAAGGATCCAGCCACTTTCCTTGCTTCCGCCGCACGAAGAAAAGCCTTGACAAACGTATACAAAAGTATATCATAGGGGTTGTGTGATTAGATATGTTAGGTGCACCCCCACTCAACTCCTCCCCCAGGATTAAACATCAATTCTTCTGCCATGAAGGATGTGTTAGATAGGTCACACAAATCTACCGGTATTGACACTGGAGGGCCCGGCCCGTTGCACGTGGCACGCGCCTGGGGATTGACAAAGAGTTTCGCCGAGGTCGAGCTTTAGGGCTCTCCTCGATCTGCACGAGCTCGGGCGTGGAGGTGGGAACTTTCCAAGTCGAAGTCAGAGATCTCAAGCGCTGGAGCAAAACATTCGAATTCCTGGCCGCTCGCGTGGAATCGATCTGGCCCCCCCACCTGTGCGTTTCGCTTGCGTTTCGGACATGAACCACGTCATGGAGGAAATGAGGATGGTCATCTCGTGAACTTCCACATGCACCTTCTGGGTGCTTGAACTTCAAGACCGAGCAATAAGTGTAGTTTTTTGGGGCTGCTCAAGCCACACCTGGAATGGGATCCATCCAAACGCCGAACACATCAACAACGCGAATGCAGCTTCCACGCCAGGATCCAAACAAGCACAGAACTGCTTGGTGGTTCCAACTCACCAACGAAATGGTTTCAATCATCAGATGTAAAGATTGAATGCAAATACAGTATCTGAAATCCTCTTTGTTCCATATCCCAAAACACTCCATCTATAAGCCAGATATGCCGCCCCATTGACCCCAGGTCCACCACCCCAATGTAGGTAAATATAACATATCATACATGCTTCGCGTCTGGGATATAATTGTCCGCACTTCCAGTTCCACGTTCCTCGTGTGTTCCGAACGGTTCCGCATTTGGATCATGTGGAAACCACCCCCGACTTCTGGGAGAAGGATTTGGATTCTGGAGGATAAAATCATGCCGCTCCGTGGAAAAGCAGCTGGAAACACAACTGTCCCTGAAAACCGGGATCAGAAAACCCCGGTAGAACTGGTCCAACGGCCATCAAAAGGCCAGACCTTTATGTTGATTGTAATTACCTACCACTAAGGTGGGTTTCACGGGTCAATGAGGCGGTAAATCTTACAGTCTCAAAGAGGTCATTTCTTGGATTTGTCGTCGAACAGTTGCCGTGGACTTTGAGGACTGAAGAGTTGTTTCATGCCACTCGGTTCCAACCCAGACGCGACCCGAACGATTTCGGTCCCGAACCCGACTGCTCCATGTTGGTTCGGTCCAGTTCACCCTAGTTGTGAGGGATAAAAAGAATCTAGCAAACTGAGGGTCCAATGAGCCTTTGAGAACGACCTTTTTCTCTTTCTCATCCCTCTCCTCATGCTCCTCCCATCCACTGAACACCATGAAAGCTGAACACTGAACATACCACTCTCTCCACTGAATCGCCTCCACGCCGTCGAGAGTTGCTCATGACTCTCCGCATGAAGCTGGTGCAATGATTCCAGCTCGGAGGTCAAAGCGCTCAACTCCGAGCTGGCCATCGCGCCGCGACTTACACCCGGGTCGCGAAGCAATCCACCCGCCGCCGCCGCGAAGCAATCGCACTGCGTCGATCGCGCGGCACGACTCCTGGTGGATCTAATCAGCCGACTGTCCAGATGGACGATCGCGCTCTCTCTCTCTCTGTACTGGTCTGGTGTGGGGATTCACTCCTGGGGTGTGTAAAAGGAGAACGTGTCTCCCCATCTTTGCGCTATGAAAGCTTGGAACGCTCCGAGAAGTGTGACACGGAAGACCCGGCAATCTGGTACCATGGTGGAAGGTCATCTTTAGGGGTCTCCATGTGTTCATCTTCGTGCTAGTTTCTTTAGAACAAACCTTCAAATGCAGCAAACCTTTTCCATTTTGTCTGAGAGAGCTTCTGCAAACGCCTGCGGAGGCCGCGCCCAGTGTTCCATGTCCAATGTTTCACTATTAACCTCTGAACCACCCCTCAACCTCTATGAGGAACTCGGAAGTGGAAAAAAAAAGAAAAACATGAAAAGCCATTAAACCGGTCATCATAATACAGTTTGAGAACCAATTTCAGGGAGAGTTGCGTGTCGACCAAGCTGTTAAGGTACCAGGAACACTTCGAAGGAAACATCGCGTGATTGATCGTCGCCGGATCACCAACACCACGGGATCTGGACTCATCTGGACCTCGAGGACCCGCTACCTTGGGGGTAGCCAAACGACGCGTGAACCTGGACCAACGCCGCGTGAACGAGCCGAAGATCGGAACCCAAACGAAGCGCTTCTTGCTCCGAGTAGCGATGCCCTTTGTGGTAGATTCTTGTTAGTAATGCCCGGAGCTACGCCCGGAGCATCCTGTTTTGGTTTAAGGGGTTGGTTTCAGGGGTTGCAATCATGTTGCAAATCACTCGCAGGGACGTCAAATGCAAGTGATCTATGCCCAGACGTTTTGGGGTTTCTCATCAATCTCGATATGTTTTGAGGGACCGGAAGTAGGGCTGTCTTCGCGGAGCGTCTGGGTATTGGAAAAGTAACATATCGATCACCAAAACAGTCAAACTTCCAAACGAGGTCATCCTGCCATTTCTGGCAGGTGACCCTGCAGGTGAAAGAAAGCACCCCTCCACTTGGGTCCAAAGGGCCTTGTAGCGTGGCACTTGTTACTACTAGCTTCTTGCTCCTAGTAGTAAGGCACTTGTTACTAC